CTTTGTTGTACTAGGAGTTCAAGTTCATCTTGCTTATTTCCCATGCTTCCTTGGCTTTGTGCTGTCTGCAAAGCTCCTATGTCCGTTGCAAGGCCACAGGATGGAGTCCCATTATTTCTGGCATAAGTGGGGCCCAGCTCTACAACTTCTGGTCTCATTCTGTGTTGTTTGTTGTTTTGTAACTAACAACAGCCCAGAAAAGACACTATTCACCTGGTTGGCAACCTTCTCTCTGACCCCAATTGAGCTAAATCTTCAGTCCTGTGCACTCTTTCTGAGTCCCACCAAAAAGGGAAAGTGTAAATCCATTTGAGTACATATGAGTTTGTTCCATTGTTTTCAGTGGGATAAATTAGTGTTTAGATTCAGATTAACTTTCACAGAAGTACAGCCAGCGTGCTGATGATACACAAGAATCCTCCATTTACCTTAAGATGGCCAAACACACTGGTTTCTGCATACTTCCCAGAAAACATGTAGATTTCCTTCCAATTGCCAATGGTAAAAGTTCCCACAGGACAAGATCAGCAAAGCACTTGTTTGCAAACACTCTCTCTAAAATTCTAAACAGTCGGACTTTAATAGTAGACCTTTTGACATTGATGGCATTCATTAGGCATATTTTTATACAGATAAAAGCCTTTTAACACCCAGTACTTCAACTGAGAGAAAATGCTAGCAGTTACTTTTGTCCCAACATTGTTTAATTTCCCATTGCACTATAGTGAAGCCAGAAAAGAGGAAAAACTGACCCTATAAGGAAAACAAATATTAAAAGGACAAGTGAGTTGAAAATGTTGAAGTTTAGAGCACTATTGTATGCATGCGTACTTCCAAACAAATATCATGGTAGCTTATTTTATTAGCTATATTTATATCCTGTCTTTATTCCAATGAGCTCGAGATGGCATATGTTTCTTGTCATTCCCTAGTAATAGCGTTTAGGGTTGTAGTCTTAGGGCCAAAACACACTGCAGAAATAATCAAATTTTTAATTTGAGACCACTTTAACTGCCCTGGCTCAATGTTAGGGAATTCTGGGAACAGTAGTTTTGTGAGATATTTAGCTTTCTCTGTCAGAATGTCTGGTGCCATCACAAACTATAGCTCCCAGGATTCCCTAGCACTAATAAACTAGTTAAATTGGTCTCAAGTTCAATTATTTCTGCAGTGTGTTTTGGCCCTTAGTGATCTGAATTTAGATAACATTGTGTAACTTAAGGAATGTTATTTTTTTACAATCAATTTCAGCAAATAACCAATGCCATTACATTCTTCTCCAGACCGTTCTCCGTGGATCCGAAGACAGTCTGTGGTCTGTTCCTTACAACTCACTACTTCCAGTACAAGAAATAAGAACGAAAACCTGTTTGATTTGATGGTCTGAAAGCCTTGGCACATGATGAATTTCTCTGCAGCATGTGTTTTATGACTGTCGGGCAAAGATTTCTGAATGTTGGCTTCAAACCCTGAAGATACATGGAAGAAGCACTTTAAAGATTCCAATCATTAATCCTTATACTCAAGCAGGAATCTGAGCATGCCCTGGTTCTTTAGGAATAATGTTTGAAAAATAAACTACAGAACTTGGAATGAGCCAATTTAAAGGACAATTTAAAGAAAAGGATAATCCTAATCCTAATTTTGTCATCATATTGATGGCATTAATCAGTTATCTATGAATTATTGACTGTGCTGTTTCTCCATAAACAAGTGACACACTGCTGGTGACGTTTTTGCAAAAAGATAAAATTTAGGTTTCACTTTTGCTAACGCTGTTAGCTTTGCATTTGGTTGTTTTGCCAACAAATGAGTTTAAGGGCCAAATTGCCATTTGGAGAATAAAACTGTCATTTGATGAGTGAAATCAAAAAGCCAACTACTTCAATGGATTTATTTACAGAATGGCAGTGCCTAAAAATCTATATAAAATATTTTTGTCACCATTTGAAGTCTACTATTACAGGATTTGATATTTCTGCCAAAATGGACTTGAGCAGACTAAACTATATGTCAGAGGACTTATGCAATGGATGTAGAAATAGATGGTTGCAGGTGGGTATACTGCAAATGTGTATAAAATCTTGGTATGTGTGCATGTGTAGTACATTCATCCAAGCAATAATACATTCATAGCTATGTACCCTCGTATTGCATAGGCGGGATTCCACTTGTCCCCAAAGCTTCTGCTCTGACACTGTTTGCCAATGGGAACTAGTTAACTCAGAATTGGATCGAATTCTTTAACATCATTATGTATAAAATCACTTTGAAGAATAAGATGCAATACTAGCTGTTAATACTGCATCAAGGGTAATGGATGTGATGTAGTCCTGCTGACGAATTGCTGGAGGTTAATGTGAGCACTGGGTTACAATTCAAGCCTTCAAACCAGCTGGTGTTAAACCAGCATCATTTGCACTCCCTTGTCCTTTTGTCTGCAGAGACAGATATTTTGCACATACGAAGGGGTGTACCAAAAACAAAATGTAAAAAATTAATATCAGCCCTGCTGGATCAGACCTAAGGTCTTCCTAGTTTAATATTCTGTTCACACTGTGGCTAGTCAAATGTCTATGGGAATATCATGACCAGGACATGAATGTACTAGCTCTTTCCTGCTTGTGTTTTCCACCAGCTAGTATACAAAGACATACTACTGCTGATCCTACAGTGAATTTCTCCAATCTGTTTTTAACATTATCTAAGTTGGTTATGTGTGGGAATGAATCTCTCAGTTTGACTGTACGCTATATGAAGTAATACTTCATTTTACATGCCCTAAATGTTTTTTTCATTCACCTTCAACAATTTCAAGTTCTAATCTAAGGCCTTGAAAGAGTAGAGACTTTTTCCTATCCACTTTCTGTAAACTATGCAAACTTTTATACCAATGGCATGCTTATTCACCTTTGCCTGCCACGTTAAACTGGCTCAAATTTCATTAACATTTTTAAGTTGCTTCAAACCTCTGATCGTTTTGATTGTCCCTCTCCCTACTTTTCCCAACTCCAAAATATTCTTTTTCAGGTGTAGCAACCCTGACTGAGGCTGTATATAGTCTTCCCAGTGGGGGAAAAAAATCACTCCTTTTTATTTTTATCATCTGAAAAATTTGATGTCATCAGCAAACCTGAACACCTCACTGACTCGTCCTGAACATTAATTAACAGGTTAGAAAGCACTAATTGAAAACAAATCCCTTGACGATTCCATTTCTTAATCCTTCTGTGCCGAGGATGTAAGTTTTTATTCCTGCTCTCAATCTTTTTACTCCAACAAATTACAAGTCTACAAGAGGATCTCTCCTTTTATGTCATGACTGCTAAATTTCTTCTGGAATTTTTGCTGAAGGACTTGGAAATGTTTTGAAATATACAATGTCTAGTGGTTCATCATTCCAGTGAAATGAAATGATACTTCATACTCTAAGATCTCCAAATAGTGAGACAGAGCTCAGTTTTGCAGAACCCAGCAATTTTTTTAAAAAATGATTGATTAAGAGCATATCCTGATCGAAAACTCCCCAATTTTGTTTCTGTTCTTTCTAATTTCATACTGAGTTAAAATAAGCTGACCTGGGGAGCTGGGATAAAAAGTCTCTGGCCATACCAGGCACTGATATTCTGGGACTTTCTGGTCTTTTTAATCTGTCTGGATGTGCCTTCATTTTATTAAAAATGTTTCTACCAGTTGACCTGAACATGTTATCCTATCTGGATACCTACTTCCTCCTCTCACCCAATTTCTTTAAAAAATAAATATTACATTGGACTCTTTCCAGCCTGCTGTTAGATAATTTCAGGGACAAGTCACATATTTGTGTTAGAAGATTAGCAATTTCATTCTTTCAGCACATTATGGGAGTGTGGACACCATTTGGACTCAATGATTTGCTAATTTTTGTCAGTAATGATTAGAACACACTCTCTTGTCACCACTTCCTGAAAAACTCAGTTCAGACATGAGTATCTGTTGTGTATTTTCTGTAGCAAAGAGAGATGTGAAGCATTCATTCAGCTTCCCTGTTATATCATATTTTTACACCTTTGATGCTCTCATCATCCAGTGATCCAATAACTCCCTTTAATGGTTTCCTACTCCTAATCTATTTAAATTATTTTTGTTTGTCCATGTTTTTAGCAACATGCTCCTCATGTTCTCCCTTTTTGCACTGCAGAAATAATTCACATTGCTATTACTTTAACTGCCATGGCTCAATGCTATTTGAGATTTGAGTTAATCAGATTTGTAGTTTATTGTGGCAC